AGCCACGCCCCCACATGGCCAGACCCTGCAGCCGGCCCCACCCACCTCGGCCTCCACCTGTCTGTCTGTCTATGGCTCTGGGCCACACATGCGCAGTTGGCCCAGAGCGTTACGGACAGACAGAAGTGGTAAGGCTTTTATTATATTAGAATATTCTCTTCTTGATTTTAATACAGACTTTTTCATGAGGTGGTAGGTTCCATTTGTGTCAGGAATTGATCCTGAAGAGGTACTCGCTTCTTTCAGTGCCCTTTGGTTTCAGGGTGCTCAATACCTCATGAGACTGAACCCTAAAATATTTGTCTTGTAACAGTGGGTGACTTAATTGCGTACTTAGTAATAAAAACAGAGTATTTAAATAAGTTCTGCTGCTGTATTCTTGAGAGTAATTTAACTTCCATTAAAGTTGGTGGCAGTTTTGCAGGTAAAAAAATGTGGAATGATGCTGATAGTCAATGCCATGTTTTTTTGCTGTCATTGAAAGCAAATGAAATAATTGTTTGTGGAACAGCAAGTTGTCACATCTATGGAATCGTTAGGTGATTGCTGGTTGGTTGTGTGGTATCTACCAAGCAGAATCTATGAAAGTAAGTTGCCCCATACAAGAATTTTACAGTGTTGCCACATCCACATCCTATTACCATTCTAAGAGGACTTGTTTCCCCTCTGTATGAACCAAAGGCAGGCTACTTTTGGGGTAGTCTGTGATGATAATTTGTAATGGGTTTGCATGGGAAAATTGGTACACAGCCATAATCAGGGTAGATTTTTTTTAGGGTAACAGGAATGTTGGATGTGTCTGACCCTGTATTTTTGATGCGGTCAGATTACAATGGTATTTGTGTGTGATTTGGCTGTTTAACTATATTATGTTGCAATTTAAGTGTTGTGGTAGAAAAGCTATTGTACTTAGTCTCTCTCTCTTGCTATTCTTTGTGGTCCACAGCCTTATTCAGTCAAGAGTTAAATGTATTTTATTCATAGGCCTTTACACAGGAGGAGCATTAGTGCTTCTATGAAATAGTGTCAATATATGCTCAAGATGCCCTTTTATCTGGGGTCATGCACATACCCTGCTCCCCCCTTCCCCCCCAGATTTAATAGAAGCGGGAAGTTCCCCTGCTTTACCTGTGACAGGTTAGATGTTAGGTCTGTGTTGTGTCAGAGTTGTTGGTAGTCTTTTGTAGAGTTTAGATTATGGTTTCTATAGGATGGTTTGGATAGGGATGATTCTGCCTCGAGCAAGGGTTGGACCAGATGACCTCTGGTGGGCCCTTCCAACCTTCCTTCTCTACGATTATAATGTTTTATTAGTGGCGACTGATTTAGAGAGATCTATGTTAACTTTGTTATTATGGTTAGGTAAGAAGTCCTGAATTTTTATGGAGCTATTGCCCTTATCTTGGTACCACAGGCAATGTAATTTGCTCACAATGTAACTGTGCTAAAGACTAAATTTTGCCATCTGATACACATTTGAAGCTGTTCATAGACCATCAGCGATAGGAAATCTGTACTTGGAGGTAGGGCTGCCTTTGCATAGAAAAAATTTAAATGGAAATTAAATTTAGTATGACCAGAATGAAAATGTACATAAAGTAACTCGATACTACATTTGAGAAAATTGATTGAGTATAAAGGTTGGATGTCAAGCATGCATTGAGGTCAAGAAATAGCAGGCAAAACATTTTGGTTAGAAAAGGGGTGTAATTGAGGTTACTGACACAACTACTAGAGAAGTGGTGGGGCCTATCAAATTCTACTAATACCATTTACTAATTTCCCTTCCCGTGAATAAAAAAAACTTTTACAATTCTGCTATGTAAGAAACTTACCTATTCCCTAACAGCCCTGTGGGTCAAAGACCTGGTTTTGTTCTTGGTTGTGGAAAAATGGTCAAGGCAGTACAAAACTCTATTGTCTGTTTGACCAGCCAGAAGGTTGTAATCCAGTCTTTCAGGCACTGATCTACCCCAATGAACTGCATAGGCTGGATTACTGAAACTCCTTATATCTTGTAATGAACCTAAATAGCATTAGGAAATTCAAGGTGGTACAAAATGCAACTGCCTGTTTGTTCAGCAGTATGTTCTGTAGCAAATTCATCCAGTGGCTGATCTAGTACATATGTTGACGTTCCATTCAATAGTATAGTATATCCAGTATTATCCTGACACTACGTCAGTCAAAAAGAGTTGTGAAGGTAGACACCTGAACTCAGGAGCTGCATTCAGACTAGGGAAATAATAACCATTGACCTGGCAGCAGTCAGAACTAGCCAATTTCTTTGATTTGGCTGCCTCTCAATCTCTATGCCAGCACTTGACACTCCATTATGATGTGGAGAAGAATGCCAGGCAGAATCTGTTAGCTTTCATCTTCTTCTGCAAATGTAGTATGCTCACAGTGTGGTCTGTCAACCCTTATTCATTTTCAGGGTCCTGCAGCGATGGGAATTCTAGAAGCACCATGATGGGCAATCTTCCTGTTTCTACCCCTCACCCTTCCCCCCTGTCTTTTTTTTTTTTTTTTTCCCATGTGGATGTATTTTTGATTGAAAGAAAAACAATATAGCCTTCAACTGGTGGAAAGTAAATTTACCTCTTTGAATTTAAGGGAGTCATTTTGAGGTGGGTTCAGTAAAAAGTAAAGGGAAAAACTCCATTTGAAAAAAGCCAGTGATGTAAATATCGGGTTTAGCAAAGCTAAATTGGATGCCCATTAAAACAGATAATCCATTCCTTGTTTTACACTGAATGACAGATGGAAGATTACAGACTATTTTCCAGCAGAACTTGGGACAGGAATAGTAATTTTGAGATTCTATTAATACATATGTATACACAGAATGGCACAAGGTGAGTCACTGGCTTTAGGTTATTTATCACTGAATTATCCACACCTGAGGGGGAGGGTTGTTTTCTTTCATTGAAGACTTTCTAAATTTTTAATAGGGATTGTATGAGAACAGCTCTGGCTTGTCACCATAACCCCAAAGGGTACTGATGAGTTTATGAATACCACTTTTTTTTCATGTACACTAGACTTATAATTGTATACTTGAAATGAGGAAACTATTGTATGTTTACAATAATAATTTGTAACACTTGGCTTGGAGCAGGATGAAAATATTTACTGTGTATTATCACGTGAAAAAGATTTTAAAAAAATCTTACTAGAGTACAAGCAATATTTAGAGTAGAAGCTGTGACTTAGTGCAGGTTTCTTTACACAACTTGTCATGATCTGTAGGAGGCAGATATGTTTTTATTTTTTATGTAATTACACAAGCATAATCAAAATCCGAACCTAGCCTATTAAAACTAAAATGTGGCATAGAAGTTGATGTCTTATTTTCCTTCAAACATGTTCAAATGACCACAGTGCTGCACATACAAAGTAGGTATTGCCTTGCATTCAAACAGGCTCAAGCTCAAACAGCAAGCATCTTACACACAGACAGTTCAGCCTGGGGGACCAATTTCTAAGTAAAATGAGGAAGTGAAATGGTATATCCCTCTGAAATGTACATCTGAGAATAGTCCAGAGGCACCACCACAGTGGTATTTTTATTTTGTTTTTTAAGGAAATTCCTGATTTCACATTAGCTAATTTAAAAAAAAAAAAAAAGAAAAATGTCTTATCAAATTGCCTTATAATATCAAACGGTCTGAAGCTAATTTTCAAATTGCTTGCTTGCTTGGTGATTACACTGATGCATGGTTTTCAGTGGCTGCATTATTTTGCCCTTGTGTCTCTTGTCAGCAACCAGATCAAAACACCTTTCTGCCCCCCTCTGTACAGCTGTTGTAAATAGCTGACTGTTAAAATGGCCAGTCACTATCTACTGTTCTGAAAAGCTTATTTCAGTTGAACTAAAGAATATTTTGATTTTCTTTTTCTTGTTTTAAGCTCTTGAAAAACATTACAAAGAATTTTCATCTAATGTCTTGGTGTTTTTTCTTCTTTTTCCTTGCAGGAAATGGCACTATGTAATGAAGTTAAACCCCTTCATATTATTCCAATTCATTTGGTCCATCCATTGAAACCAAATTCCCCTACACATCTAGCAATGAGTCAGGTTGAATTAGTGGAACGCCTCTTGAAAAATTTGGGAACTGAAAATTCTGGGTTTACCGTTGACAACATCATGAGGGTAGGCATCAGAATCTACAGTGTTTTAAGTATTTCTTTTTATTCTGCGTGTTTAACTCTTTTGGAATGCCTGGTGCAGTTAACAAGAACCTGAGAATCTTATAGCTAGCAGCAAACCACCTTGTGAGGATGCACAATGCAAAGGAGAGAAACTATAAAGGAAAGAGAGAATTTGAGGGAGCATGTGTGCATGGCTTCATAATTGCAGTACTTCCCCATAATGGTGTAATTGCTTTAGATTAAGGGACAGATCTTGATCAGACTGAATGATATCCAGCATATGCTAGAAATGGGGTGGCCAGGGTAGTTTAAGGTGGTCTTCCCCCAAACTTGGGAACAATGGAGACCAGTTCAGCCCTTAGAAAAAGTTAGAATAACCTTATTGTTTTCAGTTTGCAACAGGTGCTTTGGAGCATAGAGTGTATGAGGTACGCGATACAGCATTACGGATTATCTTTGACATGTACAGGCAGCATCGGACCATTATATTGAACTATCTTCCACCAGATGATGCCAATACACGCAAGAATGTGCTTTATAAAACACTCTTTGATGGATTTACTAAAATAGATGGCAAACTTACTGAGGCTGAAATTAAAGTAAGTAACAAATCTGTTGAAAATATGTGGCTACTTTATTGCATTTAGCAGCATTTTGATAGAGCAATATATTGAATTTGCAGCTATACTGGCTGTGAAACAGATGGGGCTTATTGCTGATTTTTATATTTACAATATTTGCATAATAAACACATACTAGGATGCCGTTTTATATGGCTGATAATACATCAGCATCAAACTTAAAGCATAGTGAAAAATACACAGGTTATTTTTCAGAAATTATTAGTAATTTGCTTTCTTGTATCTGCCTCCTCTCTGAGAGCATTAAAAAACTGTTATCACTGAAAGAGCATTTCTTAATAGGCACAGAAAAAGGCAGCCACAGAAGAAGCAGAGAAACAAAAGAAGGAGCAAATTAAGGTGTTGCAGGGACAGCTGGCAGCACTGAAGGAGATTCAGGCAGAAGTTCAGGCTGGAAAGGTCAGTCCTCTTTCATCAGAGATTCTGAACTGAAATGATTTGTACTTCTTGTAGCAATATCATTACAGGTGAAATGCACCACAGGTCTAGGGATGTAAATATTGTTTTAAAAATATTCTTTTAACCTCTAATGATATCAGTTAAAAAAATTTAACTAATAACACAGAAGCTCAGACACAGCTGCTGCTGGGAGCCACTCCCAGCTCCTGGGGACCCTTTGACTGGGAGGAGAAGGTAGAGTGACCACCTTTTTAAAACGTAAAGGTGGGACAAATGCCTCCCCACTCTCCACCTGCTCCCACCTGCAGCAATGGTGGAGCAAAGTGGGGCGGCAGTGGATGCAGGCTTGCTGCCCTGCCCCCAGCAGTGGGCAGCAGAATTCCATGCCATTGTCTCCCCAAAGCCTGCAAGGGGAAACCCAGATCCCTGCACAATGCTGTGACAGGTCTGTCCCAGAGTCATGCAGCCTGGGACCAGGGCTTGATGATCCCATTCCAGGACTGTCTTGCCCAATTAGGGACCAGTATTCACCGTAGGAGGTGGGGAGGAGGCATGCCCAGTTGGACAACACAGTCCATCTGACTATTTGTATCACCCAATTATCGTTATCGTGGGCCCTGAGGCCCACACGGCTAACTAATAGCTCCTATTGTATGGGGCCAATGGATGGATGACACAACAAAATACTTGGGACAACTAATGGAAAAAAAAAAGGATAGGAGTGTCGTGTGGGTCAAAAGGTCAAAACATGAAAATAAGTGTACCTGAGGGGGGCACTGAGCAGAGCCCCCCCAAGCCACACCCACCGGTCCTCAAAGACATCCATGGAGCGAGTGGATGCCGCCCACTGGTGCTCTACCTGAAAATGTGCATGGACAAGCGAGAGGGAAGCGGCCCCGCAGTCTCCAGGCACCTTCCCGGCCAGAGCCTTCTTCCTGGTCAAATACAAGGCCCTCTTGGCCAGGGCCAGGGCCAGGGCCAGGGCCAGGAAGAGGTTGACCAGGAGGTCCTGGGACTTGGTGTGGCCATGGATGGGATGACCACAAAAAGGTGGGGGGTGAAATTCAACCAGAACCTCAAGAGGAGGTTCTGGAAGTGGAGGTGAAGGGGCTGCAGCCTGGCACACTTGAGGGTTATGTGCACCAGGCTCTCCCTTTGCCCGCAGAAGGGGTAGGAGACTGGGGTGTCCGTGAAACTCACCACATACACCAGCTGAGGTCCCCAGTGGCTTGTGGAATGAGGGTGGAGTATAGACTCAGCCACTGGGATGCCCTAGCCATGCCCCCATGCCCTCACTAAGCAGGTCCCACCACTTGGTGTCTGGGCAGGATGCGAGGGCGGCACGATGGACGGTGTGCCACACAGACACGTAGAGGTGGCGGCGATGGACGGTGAAGAAGCGGGACCAGTCTGGTGTCCTCCAGCTGGCTCGGGTGGTGGAGTTGGAAGTGCTGTGAGGCCAGATACAGTCCACCTGAAGCCCTGGACTGGGAGGGAGGGAGCACCTGTAAATTTAATTGAGGAGTCATTAGGCTGCTTGCTGTTTTCCTCCTTAGGCTATGGGTATCCTGCTGGGGCACCTTGGGGCACCTTCCCTTCCTCATTTCTCTGCCAGACTGCATCTGCCCCAGTTAAAAGATAACTGGTAAGCTAACCAGTTATCACTGCACTTAATGGTTAAACAATTACTCATTTAACCTTTCATGCCCCTACAAAGGGCTGGTCTTTACATGCAGCAAAACAAAAGTCTGAAATTATAATGTTTTGCTTTGTATTTGGGAACATCCTACAAAAATTGCATCCCTGTAAAATTATTTAATCGACATACTGTTTAGACAGTGCGCCTGTAAGCTGTAAAGTGAATCTGTTAAAGAAGAGCACAGATATATTGTACACATGTAAGTCACTTCAAAATCATGCTATATTATATATAGTAGGTTCAGACCTGGCACATGTCCTGACATTGGACTTTGAGAGCAGCTCTGATTAAAGCACCACAGTGTCTTGTGTATCAACAGCCCTGCGCTTCAAAATGGCGGCAGGAGTGCTTGAACTAAAGCACATTTGGCAAGCTGTAGTCCAGGTGCCCCCCCTGCCATTTTGAAGCATGGGGACGCTAATACATGAGATGTGGGAGGCTGCCGGATTGCAGTAATTTAGCACACTCCAGCAGACTCAATTAATCAAGTCTGCTCCAATGCGCTGTAATTACAGCGCATCGGACCAGCCTCCACACTCATGTACAGGCACCCACTAAAAGTAACTGCACCCTGACAGCATAGAAAGTCTATTTCCCATCCTTCCCTGGAAACCTCTGTTTCAACTACCATACTTTTTGAAAAGGGAGAGAAGGCAATAGATCTACTGAAGCAGGCTTGTTCCCTAGATTACAAATGCCCCAGATTAGAAGTCCTTTTGGAAAGGAGCAAAGGGCATCTGTTCACCCCATGCCCTATGCAGTGTTGGCTCTACTTTGCTGCTGTTAACCCACTGCACTGTTTCTGGATTTACCTGACTGTCCTTCCTTGAAAACAATGGCCAGTGCTACAGCTGGAGATGGAGTTTGCCAACTATTCTGTTTCTGTTTGATAGGAAAAAGAAAATGATTTTCAGAAGCTAAAGAATCAAGGTAGGTGAAACTTAAATATTTCTCTAAAATAAAGAGAGAAGGTGAATTTGAAATTATTAGATGGTAAAGTAATTATGAAGTCCAGAAGTTAATGGATGACTGGATGTGATGTTCAGTGCACTGTCTTTGAACTCATCTGAGTCAGTGCTCCTACAGCGTTGCCTTGGCTATGGCCTCAGCCTGCCTTCAAAGAGTTAACTAAGGATCTGCAAGGGAGAATTGACCACTGGCATACTGACTATTACTAACACTGGGTTGACATCACCTGGGCAGGCAGATTGCTGTACCAAACTAGATTGGCTTGAGTTGAGGGCAGACTGAGGTGGAATCACCTGTCATTTCATTTACAAAGTATTCACTGGTATTTTAATTGGGTACTGTTTGTAAACAGTATGTTGCAAGAATGAAAATAACAATGCGCCCAAAAAACATGCAGATTTTCTGCTGTGTAAAGGACTACTGTCTTTTAATGCTGCCATTATGAAAACTGCTTTCAGACACTGAAGAAAATACAGTTTCAGTTAGTCTGCTGTTAGGATCTGAAGAAGCAGCGTTTCCCCAAAATATTATGAAGTAATGATTGTTGGGTTTACTGGCTTCCATTTTTCAGGTGATCAGCTAAACAAAGCCACCCTATCTGCAGCAACAGAAATTTCAGATGATCGTTCCTCGGTTACAAATTATTTAGATAAGTAAGTAAAATTAGCAGCTTCCTAAATACTTTCATACAGAGTAGTTGGTTATTAATCATAATAACATCTCTTGGCCATCAATTAAATAAAAATAAGGCCAATTTTGGATTTAAACAATAAGGAGGTGGGAATTATCTGCAAGTAAAAATTGTATATCTGTCCTGACAGTTGATAGAGTGTGAATTTGTCAATGTGTTTTGAGATGCTTGGATTAAGAAATTGTCACAGTGTAGTTGCTTGCCACTGCCACAGAAAGAACAGGCAAAGCAAAGACTGTAAGACAAACTTCAGTATGTTGTACTACAGATGCAGGATGAAAAATATTAAATGTTTGGGGATCAAATAAGCCATTCAGGCTTTCTCTACTATGTGTTTGTCTCTTTCTTTGGCAGATGTTTTTAGTTAACACTTGTAAAGCTATTACAGGTCTGCCTTAAGTCCCTCCCTAAAGCAGATATTCTGTGTGGGAAAGTTTATATCAAAAACTGTTTAGCAGAATGGCTTTAAATTGGAAGAGTCATCTATTTCAATTAGCTCTTGATTTAATCCATAGCATTTGTTATTCTTGCCCTGTCTCTTCTAGTCTGTGCATTTTCTGTGGTGAAAGGGATGAATCCTTCACAGAGGAAGGCTTGGATCTCCATTACTGGAAGCGTTGCCCAATGTTAACAAGATGTGAACACTGCAAGCAGGTCAGGCACTATGCTGGAAAGTCTGTGCCAGTATACATAACACATAATTTCTGGAGACCAGTTAAGTGCAGGCAGCTTCAGCATCAATTTCTTCTGGTTCTGATTTGGAAAGGCTCCCATTGGTGGCCACATTATGCCTTGTTGTTCCCATAAAATGGAATACAGCAAAATTGAGATCTGTGTGGATATGCCATTAGCCAGGAAGTGGGACCATCAGCTATTTAAAGTCTGAGTTACACAGCCTCTGAGCCACAAATGGCATCCATAGAAGTTAAACCCATTTCTTGGATGTACTTGGCTCAGCAGTTCTGTGTGTGTGGGGTGGTTTGGTTGTAGATGCTTAGTTGCTTTACTCCTCTGCACCAATACAGGCTTGGGACCAACTAGCTAAGCAGCAGCTCTGCAGAAAACAACCTAGGGGTCACAGTGGACAGTAAGCTGGATATGAGCCAACAGTGTGTCTTTGATGCCAAGAAGGTTAACAACATACTGGGTGCATTAGTGCCAGCAAGTTGAAGTGAGGCCACATCGGGAGTGGTGTGTCCAGTTTTGGGCCTCCTGCTACAGAAAGGATGTGGACAAGTTGGAAAGAGTCCAGCAGAGGGCAGTGAAAATGGTTTGTGGGCTGGGGCATGTGACTGGTGAGGAGAGGCTGAGGGAACTGGGGTTACTTAGTCTGCCAAAGAGAAGGCTGAGATGGGATTTGATAGCAACCTTTAACCACCTGAAGGGGGGTTTGAAAGAGGATGGAACTAGGCTGTTTTCAGTGGTGGCAGATGACAGAACAAGGAGCACACCATTCTCAGGTTGCAGCAAGGGAAGTTTAGGTTGGATATCAGGAAAAACTTTCACAAGGAGGGTGATAAAGCACTGGAACAAGTTTCCTAGAGAGGAGGTGGAATCTGCATCCTTGGAGGCTTTTAAGACCCGGCTTGACAAAGCCCTGGCTAGAATGATCTAGTTGGGGATGGTCCTGCTTTGAGCAGGGGGTTAGACTAGATGACCTCCTGGGTTCTTGGCCTCCTTCAGGCCAAGGAAGATTGAAACCGTATCTTCCACTTCCCAGAAAAGTGTCCGAGCCGTTGGGCTGTGGGCTGGCTAGCCCGAGCGTACCTTTCACTTTCACTGTTGGAAATAGCCAGCTGGGCAGCCAGAGTACAAGATTCATGGAGCCAAAACGAGAGCAAGCAAGAAGCAGCCTGTAGTTCAGTACATGGAGGGCGGGAGGGAGTCACCCCCTGGAACTTCTGCTGTATTTTGCACCAAATGCATCAAAAGCATTGGTCTCTCTTCTGTTGTCTAGTATATCAGTTGCTCACCCACCAATTGCTCAATCAGTTTAGGACCGTCAGCTACCTAAAGTGTAGTTTACACAGCCTCTGGGCCACAGATATAGTTGGCTCAGCAGCTGTCAGTGAGTTAGAGTGGTTTGGTATGGATGTTTAGTTGCTTTACTCAACCATTCACAGCTAAGCTGATTTCAGGTGGCAGGTTTTGTACTGCTAACTACTCTGTGCAAAGGCTGTGTCAGGAGCAGATGTTCCTGCTTTGCCCCAGTGGCCCAGGCTGTGAGTAATTTCTAATGATTGTAGTTCAAAGGTAACCATAAAGTTCCTTGAAGCACAGGAATAAGTTTTAAGTTTCCTTTTTTTTTAATAATGGTTTTTTATCACCTTAAAATTGGTAAATTGTGTATGTGCAAGAGATGGAGGAATTATTATAAGACAAAGGATGTAATTTTTAAATGCCTGTTTGTCAGGAGCCCTTGAACTGAAGTGACTTTTTTTTTTTTTTTTTTTTTTTTAAAGGAATCTAAGTTCCAAAATCACTTCCGTTTTTTTAAAGTCTTACCCTTGGTTATATCACAACACAAGCCCATTTGTGACCATCATATATGTGCTTTGCTTGTTGCAGGTGGTGGAGATAGCTAGTTTGACAGAGCACCTGCTGACTGAGTGTGATAAAAAAGATGGCTTTGGGAAATGTCAGCGCTGCAGTGAGGCCCTTCCAAAAGAGGAGCTGCCCAAACATATCAAGGGCAAGGCTTGCAATCGTGAGTAGCTTTAAGTAGAATAGGACAGTTGATGAGAACCACAATACTTAGCACCTTTGGAAAGCTTGGGCATTCTCTTAAGGTGCCATACTATGGATGGATTCCTAACTTGAGGCTAAGGATTGAACAGTTTGGTTTTTTTCCCCATTACTGCCTGCATTTTCTGCATTACTCTCCCTTCTAGTAATACATAGGTTTCATGTGGCTAAAGAAAGCAAAAACCCATCAGAATGTTGCATAGTTTAAATAGCCCTAATTACTGTTGGCCCAGCTGTGGGCATATCTATATCAACTACCACCTCTCTTCTTCCCATCTGGTTTCTGCTGAATAAGGATGTGTAAACCCGGAGCTGCCTTCTGAACAGCCTCTTGTTTGGCCTGTTGAAGGTAGGATAGTAGCTGGCTTTGTCTCTTCTTCAAGGCAGTCAGCAAGGATTAGTTTCTGTTCCTTTTTGCCCAGGCCCTTCTCTTGTATTTGCTGCTGATTGATGTTAATGTAATTTACCTTTTTGGTAACTTCTCTTTCCAATAATTTTCAGCTGCCAAACCAGAAAAAGTGGCAAACCATTGTCCATTGTGCCATGAGAACTTCACCCCAGGAGAGGAGGTAGGAGAAACTCTCAAACTGGTTCCATTAGTCCTGCTGTGAAGACTGAACTATCTTGTTCCTTACAATGCTGAAATACTTAGTTTACCTGAATATACCCACACTAGAAAGTACCTAGGTTCTCCACAGGTAGTATGATGATAGCATAGGCTGCTGATTTTAGGTGGTCTTGAATCTGGGTCTCCTCCTAGCCACTGCTTTTTGGCAGTTTCCTGAAATCATTGAAAGGCCTGTTTCATTCTGTTAGAATTCAGAACCTCTAGAAATTCCACTTTGACCAGCTCTCTTATGAATCTCCAAATCATCATGATAGAAGGGGTCAAAGCTGATGCCTTTTTAAAAAAAATATGTTTAGAAAAAAATTCCCAGTGATATGTCATCCAGAAACTCCTAATAGGCTAGGAGAGTTCTCAGTAGCCATGCACTTGAAGCTTTCCAAATCACCAAAATATTACAAGACTCTGTTTGTTGAGTTGTCAGTTACAGCATTCCTTAGTGACCATGTGCCACCCAAAATATTTACAGGAAGACTAGTCATGTCTAGAAAAATGTTTAGACACTAGGAAAAACAATTTTGATACCTTTTGCTTCTGCTGTGAGGAAAACCTACTCCAGAAGTGGGAAGCCAGCTACTATTAGTGAATAAGTCTTGGGAAGCTAAGTAGAGTCTTACTTGCTGTTTGCTGTGAGTAACTGCCAAGGTTGAAATAATGCACTTCCAGTGATTTTGTTTTTTTCCTTTGTATGGAAGTACAGCAGCTGTTTGTTATGTACAAGCACGATCATATCAAGGTATTTATCACATTTGCTGATTAACAGCTGTATTCCTCAAGGATTGTCTGACCTTTATAATATATAATTGTTTCTGTAGTAGAACTCCTCTTTCTGAAGCAAGTTAACAAACAGTGAATATTAATTCACTTGATTGATTGATTAATTAATCACTGTTAATTCACTGTCCCTACCCAAGGTAGGAGCCAGCACCACCTCCCTTGAAAGTTGGTTCCAGATCCTAGCTGCCCTGACAGTGAAGTAGTGCCTTCTAATGTCCAGCCTGAACCTACTCTCAAACAGCTTATGGCCGTTATTCCTTGTTACTCCAGGAGGTGCACTGGTGAACAGGATCTCTCCCATTCCCCACTGGTCCCCCCGGTAAGTTTGTAAACAGCCACCAGGTCCCCTCTCAGCCTTCTCTTGTGAAGGCTGAACAGGTTCAGGTCCCGTAGCGTCCCCTCGAGCCACTTGCACGATCCGGGGAGGGAGACCTTGTTTCCCCTAGCGCCCCCCAGGATAACAAGGAATAACGGCCACAAGTTGTTGGAGAGTAGGTTTAGATTAGACATCCGTAAGAACGGCTTCACAGTTAGGGGGGCTAGGATCTGGAACCAACTTCCAAGGGAGGGGGTGCTGGCTCCTACCCTGGGGGTCTTTAAGAGGAGGTTAGATGAACACCCTGCTGGGGTCGTTTGACCCCGGTTCTTTTTCCTGCCATGGCAGGGGGTCGGACTTGAAGATCTGCTTAGGTCCCTTCCAACCCTACCAACTATGAAACTATGACTCCAAGATCTCTTTCTGCCACTGTGCTTATGAGAAGGGAGTTCCCCAGCCTATAGGTATGCTGCTGGTTCTTAGTGCCCAAGTGCAGTACCCTGCACTTGTCAGTATTGAATCCCATCCTATTCTCATTTGCCCACCCTTGTAACCTGTCCGGGTCCAGCTGTATCCTGTCCCTCCCTTCTAGCGTGCCCACCTTGTCCCAAATCTTGGTGTTGTCAGCAGATTTGAAAATGGCGCTTTTCACCCCCTCGTCCAAGTCGCTAATAAAGAAATTGAACAGTATGGGCCCAAGGACCAAGCCCTGGGGGACTCCACTGCCCACATCCCTCCAAGTCAAATATGACCCGTCCACCACCACTCTCTGGGTGCAGCCCTTCAGCCAATTTGCAAACCATTTGACTGTGTAGGCCACAGTCATATCTATCTATCTGTCTCTCTGTCTCTCAATGCCCCAGTCACCTAGCTTTTTAATGACAGTGGGGTGGGAGATAGTGTCAAAAGCCTCCCTGAAGTCCAAAAAGACTACGTCCACTGCGACACCTGCATCCAATGATTTTGTGACCTGATCATAGAAGGCAGTCAGGTTGGTCTGACAGGACCTGCTCCTAATGAACCCATGCTGGTTGCCCCTGAGCATCATCCTCCCTGCTGGTCCTTCCCAGATGTGCTCCTGGATAATCTTCTCAAAGAGCTTCCCCAGGATCGAAGTAAGATTAATGGGCCTATAGTTGCCTGGTCCTCCCTCCTCCCTTTTTTGAAAATGGGGACCACATTGGCCTTCAAGTCATCTGGCACCTGGCCAGAGCACCACGAGTGCTCGTAAAGCCATCCCAGGGGCCCCTCGATGACCCCTGCCAATTCCCTCAGCTCCCTGCGGTGGAGAGCATCTGGACCTGCTGATTTGAACATGCCCAGCCCCTCCAGAAGTTCCCTAACTCAGTCCTCCCTGACCCTGGGCCTGGCGGAGTCTCTCTCAAGTTGAATCTCAGTGGGGGAGTCCAAGTCCCTGCACAAAAAAATTGGAGGCAAAGGAATTGTTAAAAAGGTCTGCCTTTTCCTCTGGTGCAGCCACCAGATTGCCAACCATATCCTGCAGGGGCCCCATGTTACCCGGTGCCTTCTTCATACTCCCTAGGTTTTTAAAAAAGGACTTTTTGTTGTCCTTGATGCTAGCCCTAATTCCGTATCTGCCTTAGCTTTCCTAACAGACCCCTACAGACCCGAGCAATGGAGGTATACTCCTCTTTGGTGATAGCCCCTCCCTTCCACTGGGTATACACCTCCTTTTTGACTTTCAGGCGTTCCTGAATGCCTTTGGTGAGCCAGGGGGGCTTTTGAGCACTCCTTGCGCCCTTTGATTCTCATTGGGACTGTCACCCCTTGGGCTCGCAGGATCGTCTCCTTAAGGAACGACTACTTGTCTTGGACACCCAGTTCCCCTACCCTCCAGGACCCCAGTGCCTCCTACCAATCTCAACTCATTGAAGTTGGCCCTTCTGAAGTCAAGGGCTACTGCTTTGCTGCAGGCCCTTGACACCCTGCACTGGCTGGTGAATTCCAGTAGGCAATGATCACTGTCACCCAGGTGGTCAAGAACCTGGAGTCCCCTCACCAGGTCATCATCGCCTGTAGCCAGGACCAGGTCCAGAGTGGATGCATTGATTTGATGGAGAAGCTGGCTCATTTCCCCCCCGGTGGGACTGTGCACCTCCTGGTTGAAGTGGAGATCCTGTATCGCTGTACCGCTTTTGTGAGCGGTCTGACCTGGCTGGCTGCTCTTCCCAGCAGATGTCTGGGTAATTTAGATCACCCGTGATGACTATATAGGCCTTAAATGCCTCCGCAAGCTGACCCGAGAATTCGCGGTCCAGCTCTTCCCTTTGGTTGGGTGGTCTGTAGTAGACCCCCACCATTAAGTCCCTTTAGGATAATTACCTAGCTGGGGTCATATGAGCCCAGTATTCTCTCCTGCCCAGGGCAGGGGGTCAGACTTGAAAATCTACTTAGGTCCCTTCCGACGCTACATCTATGAATTTAGTTCACCGCAGTTATCAAAAGAATAATCCAAAATCAACTTCCTTTGGGAAATAGGATTGTAAAAGAAAGTTATGGCTCCTTTCCACTATGGAAATAGCGCCGTTTGCTGTTAAACAGTTGCTTTCCATAAACAAGCTACAAAAACTGTTCACTTGCCTTTTTACTTCTGCTTAGCAAATAGTCCCAAGAAATTGTTATCGTGTGGTATCTAATTTAGTGACACACTTTGGTTCTTTCTAATTAAGGTAACTTGCACTCAGCCTGGATCACTGAATACTTTGTAGTTCTATTCTAGTTGCATAGCTATGTCCCGATTTTCCTTTATTTTAAAATGTCTATGGATGAATGTATTTTCCTGCTTTGATCCTGTATTGTTTTGTTTCTGCTTTGAACTTTAATTGCTTATTAAAGTAACATAAGCTCCCTGCCTTTTACCTTTTGGATTTTGTAATATTGACATTGGTACAACCATTTCGGTAGATATTATTACTATCTGGTTGCAATAGAATAAAATTACTCTTTTCTATTCCAAGCATCAAGGCACCTCACTTTTGAAATGGGTCATGAGTCATTCCTAAAATTTGCTTTGACAAGCAAATGTCAACAATTTTGTCCTTCTTTTCCTCAACAAACTTAAAAATCTTTTACTTCCTCCTAGTTTTGCTGTAAAAGCTGTCTGGTGTGGTATGAAAGACCTGCCACTTTTTCTGTTTTTAATTCTGCTTATTTCTTAATTGATCTTAGGCTTGGAAATCTCACTTAATGGGCAAAGATGGCTGTAAAATGAATCTGCGGAGGGTGCACACTATAAATAAAACCCTACTGATGCAGCCTGGTACGGTATTTCCTTGGCATTGTTTTATGGTCTTTAATTTGTTCAGTTTCTTCAAATGGAAAGTTCCATTCAAGATATCAGGATGATTCCTTACTACATGCTGTTAGATAAAAAAATCAGATATGGAAACATTTAAAAATGTATTTCTAAATATGTTAGTAAAAACTAATACATATCACAGCAGGCAAATTCTGGCCCCTGCTTACACCACTTTAGTCCCATGTGCCCAAGAATGGATGAATTGATTTGATGGAGAGAAGCTGGCTCATTTTATTTTATCTTTTGAATCTTGTCTTAAATAGTAGTATGCTCCTGAAGATGCACTGTGCTGTAACTGCCCCACCCAGGGAGTGTTAGGAGCTTAACAAGTACAGCACAGGCAGAATTTGAACAAACTCCTTAACGCTAACCTGCCAATGTACCTCAACTCTATTTTAAGCCATTTTTAGTGAATAGTTAGAGGTTGCCAATCTAGTTCTAATAATGGGATAGACTGAACAGATAAGCTTTTATATTATTTATCCCTTTTGACTTTGACCTAAGCTGCCAAAATGTAAAGGTTTGTAATTGGAAGGAGAAATTGGAGACTAAGTCCTGTTTTTTCAGAATGCAGAATCAGACTGCTTTTTGCTTGCAGTACAAAGGCTTTCTTTTAACCAGTACTCCTCAGTGCTCCTTCCAAACCTCTTGGGAGGGTCACCCTGCTAGCAGCATGTTCAGACTTTGTTGGTCTGTACTTCTGTCTGGGCTCCCCCATTCTTATCTACATGTACCATCACATTCTGAGTAGAATGTCTTGGTGAAACAGAGTTAAACGGTCTCTAAGAGGTACCATAAGAAAAGACAGCTAAACTCAACGCTTCTAAGCAATGTTGGCCTGAACTACAGCAACAGTAATTTGGTTCTTAGCATTCCTGATTACACCAGTGACATGGCTTCTTTACTTAGTGTGATAGTGGCTAGCTCTCTGCCTTATGGGAAGTAGGAACTGAGACACTAAACCAGGGGTTGTCAGCTGGGGGTACGCATGTCCCTGAGGGTACTTTGAAAGGTCCCAGCAGGCACATAGGGGTGGGTGGGGATGAAGCGCCACCACCCCGTGCCGCTGCCTCACAGGAGCAGAGCTGGAGCAGGGCAGGACAGACACTGTGCTGCTGCTTACCCCCCTCTCCGGTACACTCGTTAAAAAGGGGGCTGCCGGGGCTACACTGACTAAAGAAGGTTGAAAACCCCTGCACTAGGCTAATAAGTAGGTAGGAAGTGAACTCTGACCAGACTTATGACATGTGTAGTAGGTCACCAAACACTATTGGTATGGTTAGGTTTTAACAGTGGTAAGTCCTTATATTAGATTCATGGTAAAAAATCATCTCCTGTTAGGAATCCCTGTAATACCTTCATCACTTTAGAAATCAATGTAATGTTTTTTGTCGACCTTGGAGGTAAGGCACGTATCTAAACGTCAAGGCTTGAACTTGATGTGCGCATGCCTGTGTTCTTTTCGCAGGCAAAGCAGGAGGATTAGCTGTCACCAAGCCAGTCCCTACAGGAGCAAAGCTGCGATCCCCCACCATAGGAAGTAAGATCCCAACCCCAAGAGGGGGCATAAATAAAAGCACTGGCAGAACATATGCAAAGCGATGACATGAAAAGTACTTGTTTCCTTCATAACTGAGCAAGTTTTTTGCGATGCACATTTGTGAGCTTTGATGGGAACCTCAAACTGCACATTTCACCTGAACTCCCCTCTGCTGTCTGTTAGTCATGACTACTGCTTGCCCACTTTGGTTTCCCAGTGTTGTGCATAACTGCCCCAAGAGCCTACATCTTACTGCTTAGTGACCTGCAGACTATGGGAAAGGTCCTCTGGCCTAGGGCATTCCTTTGTCCTTCCCCATTGGCAAGAAGAATAGAAATTGGCTGCAGAATCTCTTTTTGCAGCTTTCCTAGGAGAGGGGAGTCCCCAGTAAGTAAAGAGCTAGCTGAGCCAAATACAATGCTACCTTCTGCAGCAGCCAACAGAGGTTGGGGCAAAATGGCCCAACGGGTTGTGGCTGTTCCCCTATTTAATGGGATGACAGTTGTCTTGTGTTCACTTAAGTAGCCTGTTGGCTGGGACTGAAAGGAACAGGCATGGACATCAGGAAGCCACAGTTTTTAGTTCTCTTTGCTATCCAGTGGCCAAAGAAGGCCAATCTGGCACAAAACTGCCAGGCTTTCAGAAGGAAGCTTTAAGATGTTTGTTCTTTTGGGCCCAATCTCATATCTGCTCACAAAAGTTATGGGAATATAATCACCTGACTTAATCAGTGAAAACTGGTAACTGCAAAATTAGCTCCTAATTGTTCTCTGCCCATATTTGCTTATTTGTGCGACTGATTCCAAGTAATAGAGTCACTAGTACTTCTTTATAATCAGAGACACCTTGATACAAGAATAGGACTATAATAAGATACAGGATGATAGTACAAAATGTCTCTAGTATATATTTATGCACTACTCCAAAAGTCAATACTAATAGTGAAACTATCACATTTAGACATGGGAACAATTTGGTGAGAAATAGTGAACAGACTAGCTATGCTGTTCTCATTGTAGCTTTCATGCAGTTATCCTTGTCACAGCAATATCACAACTCTCTGGGTCTAATGTACAAGTAACAAAAAAAAAATGTAGACAGTAAATCAGTAGCAAAAATATTCCTTTACTATGGAAATGGAGGATTTCAATATGGTTACTGGTTTGTAGCCATGGAATGATGGTGTAATTAAACATGGGTTCTTCCTAGGAATTTTACCTGCAATGCTAGTCTTTTTGCTTGCTTTTTTTTCCTATTTTGATCCATGTGTTCAGTATAATAAATAAGTCATAAGAGCTACTTCCTCTAAGATAAAACCACCTATATATTTTAGGAGTACACCTCTATATATAGCATACGTATTAGACATTTAGATCAAGTACTTAGGCATAAATTACTCTATCAAGTAAGATCATGTAAAAAGCAGGTTGTAAACCATTTGAAAAATGACAAGATTATATTTAAATAGATGCAGACTCATCCAAACCAATAAATACCCCTGAAGTGATCAGCTTGTGAAAAGGCAGATTCAAAGCTAACAGTGGAGGGGGAAACAATGCAAGCTAGGACTTTTTTTTTTTTTTTTTTTCTTCAGATCCCACACTATCCAATCTGTAGTTTCTCTCCTTGCAGCAAATGCAACCCACTTTGATGCTGCAAAGAAAAGCATTGTGCCATTCTCTGGAGACTTTATTTCACTATAAGTTCAACTGCGTGAGGCATAATTTCACAGCTGGTGGGTAGCAGCCTGAAGTGTTACCCCTTTTCTTATTTTTTAACTTTCAACACAACACTCTGCACTTCTATGTCACTTTACAGCTAAAGAGCTGAATAAATTCTCGCTCAAACAGTGGCTGGGAATAGCAAAGGTTCCTTTGCATAGAACTTTATGAAATTGTGCAGTTAAACTTACCAGTACAGGCCCTGTCTGTTAGGGGAAATACTTGATCCAAAAATGGACAAGAGTTATGTGATGAAAAGATTTTGCGGCTTTTTTAATAATTAAATTAGTATGGATGTACAGTAAAATGGTCATATGTTCTATCCTTTTTGTGGGCAAGTAGCTTTCTTTTTAATATTGGCTAGATAAGCCAATGGGGGGGAAAAAGGGAAAATTGTTCTGCAAAGTGTCTGCCTGCTTGTAGACATAAAAAAACGAGAACAAAAAAACCCCCTACTTTACCAGACGAAGCAGCATGTTATTTCAACCCAGCTTCCCAGCGTCTGTGTAGATCAGGTGCTTCAGCATGGCTTTTTGGTGTTTTTTTTTTTTTTTAATAGACTAGCCAGTTGCCCATCAAGAATGACGGGGGGAGAGAGGCTGGGATGGAGTGCGCCACCTAACATGCTGCCGCTGTTCTGCCTCTTGCAAGGGGTGGGGTGGGGGAGGAGCAACGTTGGCCTCGGCTCCCCCACCCTCTGCCCAGTCCTCTGCGCAGCTTCCGAATCATGGTGGCGCTCCCCCACGCTGGAGCACTCCGATTGACTGTTTCTGTCAGCCAATCAGAGCACAAATAAAGTGTGACAGAGAGATGGACAGACTTAGGCTTTTATAATATTAGAATGATTCAGTCAGCCATTAGATAAAAGCACCAAAAAAGTCCCACTAAAGCTCCTGGTCTAATGCAGATGTCAGGTGAGCTGGGTCCAACTAACGCGCTGTCTCTTCTTGGACACGTGCTGGACTCAGTGCAGGAGCGTGCCGAGTTTAAAGTAAAGCATTGGGTTTTTTTGTTCTGTTTTTGTTTTATGTCTGCAAGCAGCCTCTCTGCTCAGGGAAAAATGCCACCCATAATTTACAATCCGTGCAGATGAACCCATGGTAAATCAGCAGAGACTGCCCTTTCAGTACGTACTGAAATAAGGAGTCAGTCCTACAAGTGAAATCTGGGACTTCCTTTTTTTAAATAAACTTAAATTTCTAAATCCCTAGTTAATGCTGGGAATCTGCTCTGAACAGATTGAGTGAATGTTGGCTCTTGACAGCCTGATAGCTTGGGAGCTCCTCTCTTACTTGCGACTAAGCATGCCTTAGTCCCTTTAGAAGTGGCTTAAGTTCAACTGCAAAAAGGCAGTCTTGATGTGGAATGAATGTCCACTCATGGAGCTGGCATGGAATGGCAAGTGTGCTTTAAGTTCACACTACAACATATTTTGTAATGTCTTCTCCCCAGGGAGGAGCTTTAAATGTGGGGAGGAGGGGCTTTTAAGAACTATAAAAGTAAAACAAACAAACTAAAATGTATTTTAATGTTGTTTAAAAGTCACTCTCCTGACTCTGGCACCCTGGCTAGTTTTAAATCTGATTTAATAATAAAGTTTGTTTTCCTCTCATTAGCTGTGCGGTGAAGTAAGTATTCATACACCGGAGCACGTGGCAGCAATTTGCTTTATCAGAACACAGAGTGCTAAGGAGTAGGTGCTAAAATGCTCTCACGCCATGGAACAACACTTTAACCTCCCCGTTTCATTATCAGCTTCAGGACATTTCCTTCCAAGAGGGAATGAATTGTTCTGCATCTGTCCCCACAACGGGTACAGAAATGCCTGATTATAGTCATCTTATAAGTGATATTTTTCTTTTGCTGAATTGAAGTAAGTTTGCTGTCTTGTATTTTGTATATGTTGTACTATATTTGTAGTGTACAGTTTTTATAGAGCTTTTTATGTGCCCTGTAAATACCTATGAATTTTATAAGTACATTTTAAGTATGTTGCAATGTGTCTTTTGAAACTGCTGTATGCAATGTTTTGTTTATATATATATATATATATATAATTTTTTTTTTTTTTAGAACCTAAATGACACATCCATTGTAAAAACAGATCCTGGAGTCCCTTATGCAGCCTACTTCCCAGTGGTTTTGTATGAGTGGGAATTGGGTATTAAGATTCCAGAATACAACTTGCTTTGGAAAGGCCCAGACCTGCAAGCTTTTACGTGTGTACATTCAGTGAAATTACACCTATGTATTAAGAGCAGGGGCGGGCAATTATTTTGGGCGGAGGGCCACTTACTAAGTTTTGGAAAGCCATCAAGGGCCATGTGATAGGCAGCCGGGGCAGATAAATATTAATTTTCTAAATGTTTCAGGGGCCCCACAGGCCAGATAAAATGGCCGCATTTTGCCCACCCCTGGTCAAGAGCCTCATTTGCTGGATTTGGTCTTCTCATTGCAAATGCTGACCCCTCTTTGGTGTTAGCAAGTCTTTTAAATTGGGCAAGCAATACTTGAAGGCTTTTAGTGAAACCCTACATCCAACCTAAATTGCAAACATGCTTACTGTTCTTTAATTTGATTAGGGGGGCATCCCAGATTAAAAGACTTTAAAACTTTTTATAATATGGTTTACAAAGCCTCACGAGTTGGAATAAGGGCCATATTTACTATTGTTATTCGTCACTTGGGGGGGGCGTATCTACACAACACTCTAAAGTTGCAGTAGACTAATTTCACTATACATTAGCTCAGCTGGCAAAAACTGCTGATGTGCAGCAGAATTAATCTACTGTGCATTTGCGTTACAAAAACTATTTGTCTGCACTAATGTACAGTAGCACCAATTATGGTGCATTAAGGTTAATACATTATGGCACATTAATGAACATGTAGACGTGCTCAGAGTGGCTGCCGGATTTGGGAATTATGTTGTTTTTCACCATTTGGCCTCTGCTCCCTCATGACTTTTCCAGCTTGTTTTTTCATTGATGTTTAGAAGTTGTGATGCTTAACTGAGAAAGTGTGTTTAGGGTACATTCCCCAAATGCATTTCCCCCTGCTTCGTTTACCATGATCCATGGGAAGCTTGTGAACTGCTTTCCTGCTTTGCTACTTCAAATGGATTTATACAGTTTGTGGCTGCTCTTTGTGTATCTCTTCAGCTTCCTTGCATTCTGTGCACTAAACTTTCTGCTTAAATGTGTTGTCATCACTGTTGCCTGCTCCTCAACAATTGAGCCCTGGCACAGGCTTGCACTGATTCTGGTGTCTCTGCTGGTCACTGCATTGTCATGCAGTCTGTGGAACATGTTATAGGCAATCTTGGCACACACGGCTGAATAAAAGCTTGTAATCGTAAAACAGAAGCTACCTGGGGTAAAGATTTGAACGGTGTTTAGAGGTGAGCCAGTGGAAAATTTTTGAAGACCTTGACCCAATTTCACTAAGCAAACAGTGATGCCATTTATCATTTTAGAAAGGATTTAACCAGGCTACTTCCTTATTTTAAGAAGTCTGTTTTCTATCCCCTGATAAAATAAACACCAGAGTGAAAAACAGTGAAGCATGTTCTCATACCATGCAAAAAGAAAAGGAGGTATCTAGTGGCTTACATGATGTCTGGACTTAAGTATTCCAGAGCTCAGTATCTTTTGGAGGGGCACTTTTTGCTGGGTAAAGGCCCCCAAACCTGCTTAGCACATGCATGCTGTATATCAAGGAAGGCTTCTGTATCCTGCAGAAAGGAAGGTCAGACTTTGGCCCCTACATCGTATTTCTTCCATCAGAGACCACTAGGTTCTGCAAACGTCTGCCAGTATTTTTATTTCTCATCCATCTGAACTGCAGAAGCTGTTCAAGAGCAAAAGCATATCATCCCACCAGGAGTTCACCCACATCTGAGGCTGCTGTTGGGGAATTCCACTCCTGCAAGTGATCATTTGTCTGTTGAATCATTAGCAGTTACTTGATCGAATAACCTTTGATCCCAGCAGTCTTGTAGTTCTCACTTTCAGTGAAAGGGCACCTAGGTGAAATTATGTAATTTGTATCACTTTTTATTTAATAAAATTAATCTATTTTAACAGGTTGTGATATCTTATTTTTGACAACCCCCTCCCCTAAGTTGATGTCTGACACGCATGCTGGGCTCATTTGCCTGCCTGTGACTGTAGCTAGCTTTTTTCTGTTCTTTGGGTTTTTTGTTTTTAAATTAAAAAAAAAAAATCCCATGCCAAATCTTTCAGGGTGAAATGAAGGCAGCATGCACAGCACCCTTAGAACATGAGCTAAAAGGAAATGCAGACTTCAAGTTCTATTTCTCAAAAGAGGCATTTGTGAGAAGCAAGTCTGGGGCTTTTTTGAGGGGTGGGGGCAGTTATCTGTCTGTTTCGTAATATCTTTTATTGGACCAACTACATTTGGGAGAGATGTCAGAGGTTGGAATGCTTATTCCTTGAAGATTTGTTTTGATTCTACTATTGTATCCTAACCAGTTATTGAGAAATACATACAGCAGCACCGAATAGTGACTAAAAGCAAACCATGCTGGAGCAGCAGTAATCACTTTCCTGCTCATCTCCCACTTCTGGAAAAATGGTATCCTATTTGTAACCTTGCACTCCTGTCAGTAGTCCCTGAGCAAAGTGATGCATGAAGGCTACAAACCACTTTTCATTGGAGTTTTGTTTGATCCAAGACCCTGGGTGTGTCTACACACGAC